CGGGGGGGGGCAGTTGGGGAGTAAGTTAAGGCGGGTGAGAAAGGCTGTCGGGGTGGCGGAGAAGGGGGGCGGGGTGTGAGGGGGGGTGGGGGGCGGGCTCTGGCGTGGGGGGCCCCAGGCGTTAGGGGGCGGGTAACGCAGGGGCGGTGCAGGAGGCGCTGGGGGGTGGGGCGCTTTGGGCCAGTGAGTCCCGCTCGTGTGTGCAGCGTGTCAGCGATGGGGGGGGAGGGGGTCTGTGCTGCTCCCACCCTGGCCTGTGAGACGTTCCCTTGGAGCCACTTGCTTTGTCCCGCTACCCGCGAAATCATTCGGCCCGTCTCAACCGTGTCGGGCTGCAGAGAGGGCTGCGATGGGAGTGGGAGGCTTTGGCCCCGTGGCCACGGCCTTGGGGTGTCTGTCTGTGGGTGTTTAGGGTTGCCAACCCTCCAGGATTGGCCTGGAGTCTCCCACAATCGGCATCAATCTCTTGGTGACTATTGAAAGCAACCCGGGAGGTTTTAATAGGCTGTTTTAAGAACATGACATGACGTCATGTTGGGAAAAAATATCTCCCGGAATAGCTTCAGTCCGAGTTGGCAACCCTATGGGTGTTTGTTTTTCTGATCCTGAGTCCATCCCTTCTACCTAGGGCGAAGTACGAGTTCCTCCCGAGCATGCAGAGCGCTGAGGACTTGGTGTCACAAGTGGACTGTCTGTCCGGCAACATCGACCTACTGAAATCCAGGATCGAAAATGAGGTGACGCAGCAGCGGTTTCACTTTATCTGTATCTAGCAGCTTTCATCCTGCATCATCCCAAAGCAGTGCAACTCCACTGATGTGCAGCCATGAGCATGCTGGCCAGGAAGGCAGGGGAGGAGGATCGTGGCTAAGGATTCCAGGATGAATCGCCGCCTCTTATAAAGAGCGCCCTTGACTGAAACATACCGATGTATGATGTATCAGACCTGGGATAGAAATATGGCGGGCTGTAGCTTAGTCAGTAATTATGTAGCTGAATGGTTTTCCGTGGTGCTCATCACAGTAGTTTCGGAGCCCCTCGAGTATATTAATGCATTTATCTTCTAAGCCTCACCGCATTGAGATAGGGAGGAATCATTCTTATTTTGCTGATGGGGAAACTGTGGCACAAAGAAGTGGAATGACCTTGGCTAAGTATCCGAGGGGTAGCCGTCTTAGTCTGGATCTGTAAAAAGCAACAAAGAGTCCTATGGCACGGAGATTCTGTGCAGAGCTTGGAATTGAGTCCAGATTTTCTGTATATTGATTGCAAGACTGTCCTTCCCGTGGCCTCCTTATACTCCTGGACTAATTCTGCCTTGCCACTCTGGCTTTGAAAGGTAAGTTAGAAAGGCTCTAATGCAGGTGGGATATAAATCTGGATTTTTTCTTCCCAATGGAGAGTGATCAACTCAAAAATCATACGATGTGAAAATAACTTTTACATCTGATACCAGTTATGCTATGTTAAAAGTGAAAGAATCTTAAACATCCACTTTACTTGTCTCTGTTTATTTGTTGCTGTGTATTTAATTTATGTTTCTCAGAGTATACAATAACAATCAGTGACATCAGTTACACTTGTCTGTAGTCAATTTCAGCTTTGGGTTCCTAGTGCTGCAGTATTTAAGGTACAAACAGTGCAAGAGATTGTTTGTTTGTTTCTTTATTTAACAGTTTGGGGATCTTTTTTTTAAAAAGGGGAACACATCTATTGATCTTGCATGCCTATGGAAGCTTTTAAAATGTATAGTTAAACTGTACTTTTGGCTAAGTTCACATTGACATTTATCTCATTTAAAAGTAGAGAACTGTTAAAGGCACTCTGGAATTTCATTCAAAGACAGAAACTGAATATATACACATTTCTGTCACCTGCACTAGGTAAATACACTGGGGAAATAAAACCTTTTTTCCTTCTAATTTGTTTCCGTTATAATAACTGTAGGTGTTGTTTGTAACTCTGGGAGGTAGGTACGTTTCAGGCAGCACGCTGGTGTTGTCATGTCGGTGTTACTTTTGAAATAGAAATGGCTCTCCTAGCCTTCGGTTACTGTTAATGAACTGCTGAAGGCTTGATGTCTGTGCTGCTGTTCTAGGTCCGGCGAGATCTGAACGTGGCCATTGTGGAATTTACTGAACTGAAGCAGCAGCTGGAGCGAGACTCGTTGGTTCTGAGTGTGCTGAAACAGCTGCAAGAGGTGAGGAAGGAGGCTGGGAAAATGGCTTCAGATCGCAAAGTGTTTCTGTACTTTGTTCCACTGACCTCTTCCTGGGTCTCCATAGTGAATAAATAATCATGACTCTTCTGTCTCTATGACAGAGATGACCATCGACCTCCATTTACATTCTTTACCCAAAAAACCCCAAACCAACCTTCTGTAACAGGATTTTATTCTTGCTTCCAAATTAGCAACAGTATTCACCCTTGTGATCTGAGAGAATCTCCCGTCCCAGAGCAGGGAACTGATTCAGCTTTTTGTCTGTTCTTTAAACAGAGCCACTAGGAGCAAAGCAAGGGACAGGCTGAAGGAGCAGAGCCATCCCCAGGGTGACATGCCAGGCAAAGAAGAGTCCAGGACAAATGTATCCCCACTACGCAGCTTTGTCCCAGTTAATATGTAGTTACAGTGGCTCGGCATGAGTTGAAAAGACGGAGGGAGCCGTCAAACCTGCCTGTTGCCAAGGCCTCTAAGGAGGCATCTCCAGCAGCCCAGGTGTGTTCTCTGGTGTAGCGTGAGGGGCAGCCTCGCTGCTTTTGCCTGTTGCAGCTGATCCATATTAAACAACTAGTGTTTGGGCAAAGGCTGCTACAGTCCTCCTGCTCTCGTGCAATGGATTAGCCCCATGCTTGGGCTGTGCGTAAGGGGCGTTCAAATCTCCCCTCGGCTTGTGTTAAGAAGGACGTTGGATGGATGTCAAATGGAATCTTCCTGCGCGTCCCCTGAGCTATGGGGGGTTTCATCTCTCTTGCCGGTGGAAGTTGTTCCACTTTAATTAAGTGCTGTTTAGGCCAGCAC